TGGCTGGTGGGTTTGAACCGCCAGCCTTCTGGTTAGCAGTCAAGTGCCTTAGGCACTATGCTACCAGAGCTCCTAAGTAAAGTCAGTTAGGACCTGTTTTATCTAGTATATTCCATGTGCAGAATAAGGTCCACTTTCAGGTACAGGCTTAAGACTTGAACAAAAAAAAAAAAGGAAAGAAAAACTTCCATACTTTTTTTTTTTTTGGACTCACTGTCAAGATAATTAGGTCAATAAAATTATTTCACTATTTAAAAAACTCAATGGAAAGTCTTATCAATTATTTCTGTTGTAATTTTTATAGCTTTATTGAGATATAATGATATGCCTTACAATTCAGCCATTTAAAGTGAACAATACAATGATGGTTAGTATATTCACAGAGTTGTGTAACCATCATCACAATTTTAGAAAATTTCATCACCTCAAAAAGAAACTGTGCCATTGTTAATCATTTTGCATTTCTCCTCAGTTCCAGCCTAAAAAAATCACTGTTTGGCTGTGATGAATAATGGGGCTACGAGTCTTTTGAGTAGACACATACTTTCAGTTCTCATGGGTATATACCTAGGGGTATATACCTAGGGGTGGCATTGCTGGCTTACATGGTAATTCCATGTTTAACATTTCAAGGCTCTGCCAAACTGTTTTCCAAGGCAGCTGTGCCCTGTAATAGTCCCACCAGTTACACACGAGGGTTCCAACTTTACCACATCCTCACCAGCACTTGTCTTTTTTCATTCTAGGTATTCCAATGAACAGTATTTCACTGTAGTTTTGTTCAGTCATCTGTCCAATCCATAAAACTAGATTTAACAACAACTTGAACATCTTCAAATTTTCCATCTTTAAATTTCAGCAAAATGCTTTAAAATTAGTGTCATTCTCTTTTAAGCTCTGAATTGAGCTGTTCTCTGCTCGTAGGTAACATGAAGCCACTTAGCAACAGCAGTAAATAGCAGAAACGGGACCAACAGTTGACCAATTCACTAATTTGCTTTTTGTATAGTTTCT